TTTAAACTATCCCTCATAACAAACAAATCGACAATGTCAGTTACTTTTAAACTTATAGTTAAATAAATAACAAAACCTTTTTACTCTGCAGTCCCAATTGAAACTGTTGATGTTTCAGAAACTAGATAAACAAAAGAGTTAGAAGGGCTGAAATTTTAAAACATAATAAAAATAAAATAGATTCTCACTCATTAACTTTGAGAGCTTCTCTCGAAAGAATGAAAAACACCAATGACAAATCAGATTATTCTCAAGTTACTCTAGAAAAGTCTTTTATACTATTTATATTACATTTTCTATTGAACTACATAATTACATAAACTTTTTTTATTATAATATTTATAATATGAATTTATAAATTTCAAATAGTATTGTTGATACATGTTTAATTTCAATCAAAATTGTTTAAACAATATATTTAGAAAATGATATGCCCTAAAAACTTTTCATTGAATTTTATGCAACTCCCCTTCAATGACTTCAAATCAAGGCTTCCATTTGTTTCTGTAAGTTTATAATATCCTGTATTAACTGTTGTTGCAAATGATTAAGGTTAGCCTATTACAATGAATTTTTAAGTTTTTATCCCTATATTATGTGAATCTATATTAATTCTTTGTCACATTTTCTACATACAGTTGAAATAAATTTTGATAAAATAGTATTTAAGTAGAAATAACAAAATTATTAGAGATGAAATTTTAAAATGAATGAGGAAAAGGAAATACACCAAATATAATGAGCTTGTTAGGAAACAATTTGATCAAGATAGAACTTAAATATCTAAGGATCTATCATGAGCCTCATTGATATGACAAATGGAAACTTTTTTATCCTTCCAAAATCATTAAAAGACCTAGAGAATAAAGAAAAAAAAAAGATTTTTCAAGTTTTCATTACCAAACAGTCAATTGAGAAAAAAAGCCTTCAATACTCCATCAACACTGTCTTCCTCCCAAATGGTATTGAAACCAAACAAAGCTCGTTAATTTCCACTTCAGCAAATAGCACACACAAACAAGAATAAGAGCTTCATTTGAAATTACCTTAGTCATCTACACAAAGCAGCTTTTTTGAATATTTGTTTGATGAAGAATCACTAGCAAAGAAACAAAAAACAAGGTAAATTCCACTTAATTTCATCAACAAATATATATATATATATATATATTCAATTACCAACTCAAACTCATATAAATTATCCATTATACTATTCACAAACATCAATAGGAAAGGAAAGGAAATAGCAAAAGAACAAAGGAGCGGCAACAGGTAAGAAAGAACATTAACTTACAAACAAAACACACACAACACATTCATTGCAATATAGAACCCTTATACATGACTCAATCCCTTCTTTATTTACTTTTAGGAACTTACAGATGCGGTACCAATAAAAGAAGAAGCAGTTTTATTGAATATTTAAGTAAAGGAACATATGTTATTATATTTAATTTAGATTTTCAGATTTTATATATGAACAACATATATGTCTTATTATATTATTAATAGATCATAAATTTTTACCGTATTATTATCTATGAATTCAATTAATGGATAATTTCAATCTAAATCACAACAACGTGTGGGAAACTTTCTCTCTCTCTCTCTCCATGTCTATATATATATATATATATATATATATATATATAAGTCTCGATTTTGATTATGTCCTAATTCAACTATTCATGTTCTTCAATCCGACGCCAAATGGATTTGGTTGATGCTTCTACCTCAACCAATTCCAAACAACTTTGTTCCCAACTTGTCTTCCTAATCATTTGTGCTTGCAAAGCTAGTCTCAATTATTAAATTTTTTGCTTCTTGCTCTGTCTTTACTTGAATATATGTTGTCTGCAGTTTATACATCATTTCTCATAGCTGTGAAAAAGATTTCTAGCAACTTTGTCATGGTTCTCTTTTATTGGAGGGGAGAAAGAATTTTAAAGTCTAAAATACTGCACTTGATCATGCATGTAGCACCAACAAAGTACTTTGGTTTAAACTTTTATTGCATGGGATTGTTTTTGAGTCTTATATTGTCATGATCTTCTAATATAAACTTTGGTTAAACTTTTCTTTAATCATTCTTTGTTGAACTCATTTTCAGTTATATATACCTTATGGCTTGTTGATTTCTTTTTCCTCAGCGGTAAAGATCCTTTTTATTCATAATAAAAAGTCATCAATTTCAAGCCATAAAAGCCAAGTTCCAATAATACTGCAAAGTAAAGCCTCAAAGACCTAAACACTGCTTAAACCGACACCTCTTAAAAATATACAAACTGCTATCCCTCAAACATAAAAGAAACCAGCTCAATCAACCCCCACTTAGCTAGAGAGCCAGCAAACACACTATCATATGAACAAAATAACCAATCCAATCTCATTCACAGTGTCCTCTATTTGTCTAATGGAGGTCTTCTCTTCTATCTCTTGCTAAGACCTCCATTGTTTCACTATAGGCAGCACATCTACATTTATTACCTCCCCTCTAAACTCTTCTGTTTCTGAGACATAGGAAGAAGAAAACCCCGTGTCATTAATGGTCTGAATTTCTTTACTTTTGTTCAACGCATCTCCTAGAGCCCAAGTATCTCACGGCTAAATGTTATAAGAGGTAAGCCCACTTCATTTTCCTCATTTGTAACAGCTACAATCGATCTCTTGCCGTTCTTCAAGCTGTCAACACCAGCTATATATGCGGCTCGATGGGTGACTCGTCTTCTGTAATTGGAGATACATCAATATCCAATACACCTACATTGGTAGACTCTGATTTGCCCAATACCTCTCTCTTGTTCCTGCATTGAAAATCATCATAGAGTACCAAAGCATTTGTCTCTTTATTTTCTTAAGAATCAGCAACTATTTCCGCAACTTATTCATTGGGAACATCATCTTCATCCAGAAGATTATAGAGCTTCACCAACTCTTCATATTCGCTTATGCTGGAACTAGCTACCTCTTTAGTTTCCTAAGCTTCTTCACACGTTGGTGCTGTGGCATAACTGTGAAGATGTGATACTATTTTAGAATCAATCTCACTAACAGGTACTGTGATACCTTATCGCCAACTGTTAAATAGATAAATTCTTCAGTTTTGTTTAAAGAACCTGTGTACAGGAGCATAACACCTCGAAGGAAAGATTGAAATCTTAATGCTTGAAAATCCGGGGACACACACTCGCCCCATAAGCTGGCTATATTCTCAAATGTATTAAGATTCCAATCATGCACTGGAACACCATAAACAGTCACCCATGTTTGTCTTTTCATTAGCTCGAAATCTGTTGACCAAGTATGTCCAATTCTTTAGCCGTGTCCATCCATCATTCTTCGTTTCTTCGAACGTTTCAGTATCATCAAATATTATAAGAAATTGTTTCCCTGATAATTTTTTCATACTTATATCAACTACTCCATCCATTCTAAATTGCTCGCTAATCGCATTGCTTTCGGTAAAAATTTTTGAAACATCCGCCACAGTTTTAGACAGCCAAGGCAGTGTTTCATTGTTTATTTTCCCCACAGATGATTTCCTCCTCCTAGTCGTAAAGCTTTTGCTATGTTGTTGACCAAAATCAGAGTAGGAAGAAGAATTATTTTCTCGTACAAGAGCTTGCAAAAATGTTCTTTGAACATCACCTTTACTCTGATTCACGGTTGTGCTTGAAGCCCTCCTCTCACCTTGATTGTTGCTATTAATTTCCATCCTCTTTGATGTTCTCTTATCAGCTTCAACTTCATGAACTTGCCTTTTCCTCCAAAAATAATTTCTTCGAGCAAATCTTGCAATATGAACCCCAATTTTGTAGTCCAATAACCAGATTCCATTGAGATTCAGCACCGCTTGAATATTACAAGTACGATCTTCTTCCCGGCTTTACTTCCATTGCGAGGGATGAAGACATCAACAACACACCCAAATCTTTGGAATATGCTACCTAGCCATCTCTGATGAATATTTGCGGAAGGTTGTTAACAAAAACAGTGACTGTTTCTTTCTCTGCACACTCTGCTCTCATTCTAGAAATGTTTTTTTTCCAATACGAGTGTTGCCTGCCTTGAAGAGGGAAATACTGGTTTTATGTGTCTTGTTCATATTTATTAGTATTTTGGCGTTGGTAATCTTATAGAAGGTGAGTGAACTAGTTATCTAAAACTTTTTGGTGATTTTGTTAGATTTACTCAACGAAGCTGAGGGGTTCCACCTGGAAGCTCTGACCTCATATAGGAAAGCATTAGATGTTGAACCGACCTATGTTCCAAGCTTGATATCTTCTGCTTGCATCCTTAGACAGCTTGGTGGCCAATTAATGCCCATAGTGATTCTGACCGATGCACTTCGACTTGACATAACAAACCCAGCTGCCTACTACAATCTGGGTTTGCTCTACAAGGCAGATAATAGTGCAACAACCCTTGAAGCTGCAGAATGCTCTGAGGCAGCTGATCTTCTTGAAGAATCTGCACCAATTGAACCCTTTAGATGAACAACTTTATCTGCATTTTTTTTTCACTGTTAACCTTAGCCATGTGTGAATTATTGTATGTAATTTGAGACATGTGATTTTGTACATCTTAACTTAGATTATCTAGCATATATAAATCTAGGAAAATTTTAAAAAAAGCAAAAAAGGGAAAAAAAAGGTGGGAGGAATGGTATATTATTATAGAATGCCTTTCTTCAAAAACATTAATAAGTTTTAAAAATTTAGTGCTTAAACTTTCAAGTGAATTAATGAAACATTGAATAGATTTTTATTGATAAGACGTTCCATTAATTGATTTTCAAATGAGCTACTCAACTTTTTAAAAATTTTAAAATTAAAAACAATATTTAACGGTCTGTCTAACAACAATGATCTTAATAATCATTTTTAATTATATATTATTGAATATTAAGTTAAGGATATATATATATTTATCTTAATATATGTGGTGTGTATATATATATATATATATATACACACACACACCACAAATTTTGTCTGGGTTTAGAGTTTCTACAGTACATGAAAAAGGGAAGTCGCAATTGATTTTTTATTCTTTACAACAGGAAATAGTAATTAAAAGGATTTATATTACACATACGTTGCCACACAGAAAAGCAGCTTGCTTAAACTGTAGCACCGTAGCTAGAGCTTTTTACTACTTTTCCTTGCTTTGTTTTGCTATGACTTCCCTGCAATTAAAAAAAAAAAAGACAAAAGGGAGAAATATTGTTAATTTAATTTATTCTTACACAAAAGTTTCAACAGCAAAGTAAAATAATAATAATAATAAAAAAAAAGTAGAAGAGATGAAAAAGGACATTAATTGGGGAACTAAACGGAGAATCTGGGTAAGAGCAGCAGCTTTGGTGAAATCGTTGACCTCTCGTGCTTTGAGGATTTGAAACATAAGACAAAGTCGAAGTTGGGTGTTGTGGCTTTGTTGTGTTATCAAATCAGTCTCCCTTCGGAGCTGTTCACATTCTAACTCTATCCTTTCAAACTTTTCTTTCACTCCCCTTTGCCCCTTTCTTATACTTTCTTGTTCCTTGCCAATCTCCTCCATCTCCACTTTCAGCTTTTCCATCCTCGTCTTGAGTTTTTCTGTGGCTCTTCTCTCCTTCGTACAAAATTTTAAAATTAAAAAAAAAAGTTTTCGTAAAAAATCTAAATATCATAAAAAAATGGAGAATTTATTCCTCTTAATTTCTAGGAAACAAGTAAAACACTTCTAATTTTGGATTAGTTAATTATTAAACCAAGCTATACTAATTAATAATAATTAATTTAGATAGAAAATACTTTTAATTAGACATCTAACTTGATATCTCCTACACAAAACTAGCTACTTTGACAAACACCAAGCCAAACTTTTCCATTAATTCAACTAATTACCTACCCATTTACGGTTGAATAAAATGTCAAAAGAATCATTTGTTATAATAGGCTCAACCTATGAGATCCACACGAGAAATGCCCCAACGAATGCCACATGTTTTAGCTAAACCTTTCCTATGAGACAGATGGCATGCATCAAACTTGGATCACACTTGGCAGACTGGAGGTAAAGCTATAAAAGATATCATGTAAAAGTTTGAAGGGATAAATCCCTATCAATGGACTCTATCTCAGAACTCTTCTTTGTTGCTATCTTCCTCTTTGAATAAATATTGATTTGAGCATCGAAACGTACCCAAATCTTAACCCCAACGCCTCTGACTTTCTTCTTTCCTATGACAGATTCGACAAATCCATTAGCTAAGCTTTCAACAGCTCCTATCTTTTCCAACCAAAAATACTTCAACACTATTAAAGTTTCTTATATATGTCGCAACAAAGTAAAGAAAGGCAATAAAATTTCAACATGTCCTTAACTGAGATTTAAGTCCATATTTTCCAACAAATTATATAGCTAACTCCATTTAGTTGGGGCAGCTCCCATAATACACTCTTATCTATATATAAAAATTTGTTTAACCTATTAGGTAAAATAACAAAAGATATGTATTTGAAATATTGATAGAAGACCAACAAGTTAAGAGATGATAAATGAAACTGTATACCAAATGCTTCCTTTGTGAAAATGCACATCTTTTGGACATTAGCAGCAGAGATTTCCTGAAGCCTAGATTCATGCCGATGGTTTTCCGACGACTCTGCATCCCGGCCGATCTGTTACCAAATCTATAAGCGCTGGTTCGGATGATCTTCTCAGCACCATGCTAGCATTTATATATTAAGGCATATATGTATTTATTTATTAATCCACCAACCAACGTTGGAAGAAATATGCAGTCTTTGATCAGGAGAACTCGCATGGTTTTTGTCGATCGATTGCACTCAAGTCAACTTTATCGCACGATCTTTTCTTCTTTGTTTGCTTTGAACGAGTGGGCTTTTATGTATTTAAACCATGAAATAAGTTAGTCTTTAAATGGGAATTAGGAATAGATTTTTTTTAAGGTAAAAAAGAAAAAAAAAATAGCAATTGTCTTCATATTATTATTATATATGTGAGAGTTGAAATTTTCAAAAAGCTTTTTTGTGTGCGTGTGTTTAGCCCCAAAACATTCAATATTTGCCTTAATTTTAGTTCTAAAAAAAAAAAAAACATTTCAAAGGTGTTTTTGTTTGCTTTTGCCTTAATTTTCAATACATATAGTTATCAATACTTATACCATCTACTTTGTCAAGTAATTCATTTTGTCAATCATTAATTACAATTTAATCGTTATATGCCCCCACTGAATTTCGACCGGCTAGTAAAACTAACGGCTGCCTTTTATTTATATATTTATTTATTTATTTTACACAATAGACTGCTAAACTTTTTATAGCCTACTGCTCTTGCAAGGTAATTTGTGGATAAACTATAAACCCAAAACGGACTACAAACCGATGGGCAGAAACCTAGCTTAATTTCCCATGCATGCAGGATTAGTTTTCACCCAAGCTGCGCAGCATGAATCAATGGGTCAAAACCACGGGATCCAAGTTTCTTTCCGATAAAAAAGATTCTAATTCATTGGGCGTTCATTGATTGTGCGAACAACATATGGCTTACAAAGTATAGATCACGACATTTAACTTTATTCTAAATTGACTTTGTCAGGTCTTTTTATATTTGAAACTTTCTTACCAATCAGTGGGCACGCAAATAGTAAACGCGCGTCAATTCTTTTAATAGAATTATAAATATAAAAAAATTACGATCATAATCAAAGATTATATTTATATAAAAGGTCACTGAGGATTCAATAAATAAACTAACACGTAGTTAAATAAATCTAATATAAAATTAACCCAAACTCAGAATAAGTCTTGAACACCCAATTTTTCAAAATTTAACTTTTCAAGGTTTTTATTTTGATCACCCAATTTTTTTTCCTTCATCTCATTAGCAAATAGAATCAGGTAGAAGATCCGTTATCTTATTCTGTTCTACAGCCGAAACATTAATAGTTATAAACATTGATGACCAAAATATTATTTCTTTTTTAAATTTAAGTGATCAAAATGGAGAAAAAAATTGTGTGATCAAAATAGAAAAAACTTGAAAAATTAAGTGACTTAATAAAAATAATTTTCTCCTAAAATAATTATCCAAAAAAATTTTTCCTAAAATAAATATTGCTTGCATACAATGCAAATATCCATCATTGAAGGAAGATAATCACTAATTTGCTAAGTCATCGCAAAAGTTGTGTATGTTTAACATTGTCTAATTTGACTAATTATGGTTTTAGAGTTGTGGAACTTTTATCTTAAAAAAGAAAAGAGTTGCTAACACTTTTGTCAAGATAAAATTGTTTTTAATTAATTGTGTTAACGTCTATTTCTTGAGTTTTTTTTCCAAAATTAAGATACTTTTTAATCTTAATTTATTAGTTATAGTGTTTTCAAATTTTATTAAAACAAAGGTAATTTGAAATCAATTAACAAATTTTTTTCTTTTTTTTTTTTTTGCCAAAAAAAAGTGATTTGATATTAATAAACAAGTTTTTTCTTTAAGCACTTAAAATCATATTGCTCAAAATAAAATATATTTAAACTTTGAGAAATTATCAAATATACTAACAGTAAAATTTTTAAATTACGCAAACAAAATTAAGATGATGACATATGTCCTTCATCTTAATCTCACTTGTAAAGTTAAAAAAAATTTTACTGTCAGTGTATCAAATAATTTATCTTAAACTTTATTCTTAAACAAAGTTCATATCTTACTTTCTCTAAGAATAAAATTTAAACGTACCTTATTTTGAAAATTAAGATTTTAAACTATTTTAATTAAAGAAAAAACTCATCAATTAACCTCTACGTCAACATTTTATCCAAATTAGCATATTCTTTCTTCAATTCTTTCTCATTCTCTTTCTCCCACGCAACTTATTAATATCATTTACAATTTTTTTGTTTTTCTCCAAAATCATTTTCAAATTTAAAGTTCCGTCAAAAAAGTATTTATAGGAAATTAAATAATTAAATAAAAATAATTTACTCATAAAAAAGTAAATGGGAGCTTTTTGTGTTGAATATTCTTCTAATTAAATATCATAATATTTTGGCAACATTAGAGACCTTTTTTTATTTAAAATTTTTAAGAATCACTATTTGAACTTTCTTAAAAGCTTATCTTCAAAAATTTTTTAAATTTATATAATAAAATAAAAATAATTAAACAAGGTCAAATTAAATTTATGGTTTTAATTATTCAACTAGTTTTTGGGCTTTTTAATTATCAACAATTTTTTTCTAATGAAATATTCAAAGTTCAAACACATATCTATTCTAAACATTTAAAATTTAAATTTGCATGTAGATGAGAAAATAAACAAATAAAACTAAAAATAACAAAAATTTAAAAAATTATCAACTCGAGCTTATCAATTTTGTCAGGTTAAATTACATAATTAGTCATTTAATTATTGCAATTTTTTTAAAAATAGTCACTAAAGTATTAAAAATTTTAATATAGTAACTAACGTTTAAATAAGTATTTTTTTGGTGTCACTATACCATTAAACAACAATGTTTATCTCACGTGGTTTAATTGATTAGAAACATTTTGCTAATATAGCCTTTTTTTTTTTCATGTCATACATAAAATTACAACATTTTTTTTTATTTTTTTCCCCTATTCCTTGTTTCTTTTCCTAATTTTTTCTATTCATTCTCTCATTCTTCTTTTTTTTTTTTTTTACTTCTTCTTGTTTGTTTCTTCTCTTCTAATTAAGAATTGAAAACCCTACTATGAGTTTTTTTTTTTGTCATTGTGGAACTGAGTTGAGGACTTTCTAGTTGAATGACAATCCTAAAAGAAGGTTTTTAGGTTGTAAGAATTATATGTATTTATACAAATGTTGTTTCTTCAATTGATATGATCCACCAATTGGTGATAGTGCAAAAGTTGTGCTTATTGGGCTTTTAAGAAAAGTGAGAACCATTGAGAGCCAGTGAAAGAAAGAACGTGTATTGTGGATTTTGTCGTTCATCTGCTGTTTGATTTTCACTTTAATTAAGCTCTAATATAATAGCTTAGGGTTGTTTAGTGTTTAAGTTAATGTTTTAGATGAATTAGGTACAATAGCATTAAAGGAGTATGGGTTTGTTATGTATTTTGTATTTGGTGTTAGTGAATGATAACAACCATTAGATAGATTTCAAAACATCTGTTAGGTACATTATACAATATATCAAGTGTGTTAGGTTTTAGATTGGTATCAGAATATTATTTTTGTATCAATTGGTAGCTATACTATGTAATGGATTAGATTACATAATGAACTTGATACTTTAAATTATTTGGCTATTTCAATATGTTATTGCTGTAAATAAACTCAATGCTACAATAAATCTCTATTGCTTTACCCTAAACTTGACTTTTATGAATCTGCAACTTCAACAAATAAGGTATTGATAATTATAACTGATCTAAAAACATAACATGTATTGATAATAAAGAAACCAATAAACCAAAAACAAATCCAAAAATATGATTATATTGATAATTATAAGGCATTTACACCATCTTGATCAAATGTAGTTCTATTAAGTATGTTGGACTTGATATAAACTCCTAAACATCAACATATTTGTATTCTCTTTACATGTATACCATCCTTACATGTATACCCTTACCAATAGAAAGAAACTAATCTATAAAAAGAACCTTTATATCTATACCCTTATAAAAAAAAACTTGTTGCTAATCCAACATACCAAAAATAAGACATTTTTGTTAAATAAATATCCTAAACAAGTAATGTGTACAAAACACCTTAACCTAGTTATGTAAAAAAAAAAAACTCATTTGCAAGTTGTTGTTGGTTTTTCATTTAATGGTTTTGGCTTTGTTGGCAATTTCCTTTCTCTCTTGTTTTGTTGAACATTGGTTGAAAACACATTTCTCTTAGCGGCATGCTTAATCAATTACTTCCACTGTACTTGCATTCATTTTTGGCTAGCTTTAGTACTTGTAAGAGTTTCAACATGTTCAAAGACTCCACTTGGTCCAAAAATAAAATTTTGTTGTGATTGAAAAACTTAAATAGAGCCCTACATATTAATACAACCAATGATTCAATATTTATGATTAAGAGTTTTTTTAGTGTGGGTTTATAGTAGATAAAATAATTACTTACATCAAGCATCTATCTAATAGTGGCTGGAGGTAACTGAACATGCCATCTAGATCTTTCAGTTGTTATAGTTTGAGGTGATTGAGGTGGCTCTTTAAATCTTCTAGTTGTGGTTTAAGATGGTTGAGATAGCTCTCTAAATCTTTCAAATATGGTTGAAAGTGGCTAAACACCTTAAAAAAATACATTAGAAGTGTAAGTGTTTAGATTAAATGATCCTAAACATTTGTATCATATATTTTCTTTTTAGTAGCAAGATCTTTAACCTTTTGGTTAATAGTCCCAACAGCTCTCCTCACCTATAAAATGAAAATAATAAAAATTAATAACTATATTTTATCTATTATTATCATTAATAAATATAAATCAATAAACCAAAACACTCACAAGTAACTTTAAGATATATTTTCTTGTTGGTTTGACAAATATCCTATTTACATTCAACCTACTATTACCACCAATCTCTCATCTATATGTCCTTGCATTATGCCATAGTTTTCCATGTTTATTATAATTGAGTTTTCCTTATCTTTTGTTGATTTTGAATTAACTTTCATCTGTTTCATTCATTTCTTTCCTCTTACTCTTATGTGGTCTTCCAAGTGGCCTTTTTAGAATGGATGATAGTATTGGTTCTAGGGTTTCATCACTTGTCTATTAATTTATACTTCTGATAGGGCAAATGAATTTGGAATATATATTAACTTGTGTGGTCTTGCTGTAGCGTGGATTGACATAATTTTTAAGCTTTTTCTTAGATAATAACATGGCTGAAATAGCATGCATGCATGGAATCCAAGTGAGATCCTATTTTCAACAAAAATAGTTATGCAATTAAAAGTCCACCACGTGCTGGTTTGATGGCGCACATGCTACTTGATATGTTGGACCACCAATATGTTTTAACCAACACCTACTTGATTGTAACACAATTTGATCCAACATTTTTTATA